GATGTCTGTGAATTTGGTTATATTTTCATGTAATTTGAAGCTACAACCAAAGTCAGACAATAATTCAGGAGAAAGTACATTACTTCAGCTGATCCATGCTCATCAAATGTCCACCATGCAGATTAAACTTTGTTAAGGGGTTTAATATAAACTTCTTTTGGAGATGTGCTTAACCACTTAAACATTTGGCACTGTTGATTTGTTTTTATCTTGTTTGAGTTTGTAGTTTAACCCTGGACTTCAGCACTTTATCATTTCATACTGTGCTGTGTTATACAAAGCTGTTTTCAATATAAAATGAACTTAAATGGGTTATTTTGCATTTTTGGAGGGAAATGAATCATTCAGATGAAACAATTTATCTGTAAAATAGTTGATAGATTAATCAATTGAAAAATAGTCATAAGAAGACAAACAGGACAGTGACACGCAACAATTGGAGCTTTATAGATGTGCTAACTGTCAGTGGAACCACCAGCTGCTTACTGAAGTCCAACCAGCTGCAATTCTCCATGCAACTAAAACCTTCTGACTCAAGACAGTGCAACCATTACGGTTGAGAAACACGGCTACCTGTCTCCGTCAGCGCTACGTATGAATGTGTTGGCGCGCTCAGCCGAGAGGTGAGGTTGTGTCCTGCCAAGTGGAGACTGTGAGACAGTTGTCTTTAGTCTCTGACAAATAAGAAGCAAAATAATTGATGACAAAACGCATTAGGAACTGCATTGACTGCACGGACAGGAGACATCCTCATTAGATGGGCTGATTTGGAAAACGCCACAAAACACTGGTGGCAGCAGCTTGACGATTGCTTACTGTACGGTTGTGTGGAAAGTATTTAAAAAAGTCCACTGAAAGCTTGGCATTTTCCAGAAACGTCACGCAGACGCTTAAGGGCTTAATAAATGAAGGAATGCTCTTTATTTACGATGATTTGTTTATTTTTTTTATCGCAGAAAGTGACGAGAAGTCGAGCTCATTCAGCGGATTCACATGATTTAAGTCAAGCAGTTCACATTAATATTTTGAGCTGTTTTTTGGCATATATTTATCGATTTATTTTAACAGTAATGTAATTTAAAACTCATACATAGGGTAAGCAAGACATAGTTCTCCTTCAAATAACCTTGTTTATTCACATGAAATAAAAGTGCATTTACATTTCTAGTACAACAACACAAAACTGTTATTGTGGCATGTCTTGAAGGTGAAGGTATGGTGAATACATCTTGACTACAAAACATCTAATCAGTCAAGATTAGGTGTTGTTTTGAATATTCATAGCTACTGACAGACTATGTGAGCTAAAACACACACAAAGTCTAATTCCTCTTTACAATAATTCATTACAAGTTTACAATCCGATGGATAAACTCATTAATATATGCAATATTATGTAATAGAAAAGTGACAAAGAGAATCCACCAGACCTTCCTAGCTGCCTAGGGTTAGGGTTAGTGGCAAAACACCAAATGCAGTCAAAAATACTTAAAAAAAGGGACTAAATATTGACCAAATTGAGTATGTAACTGCTTTGAATATTACTATTATTGCACAACTGCAGTCTTAAACCGAAAAAAAAAAAACATTATTTGTCACCAATTCCTTACAGAAATTTCTTGTGTTGTAAAAATGAGGAATTAAACGCTGCCATCTTTTGAGAAATTGAGACATAAATTGAGACGTGAACCTTGTTG